GGGGTAGTAGAAAAAGCAGTGACCACAACATCACACATCAAATTTTAAGTTAATATGGCTTACGTCTTAGCATCAGTTGCTCATTTACTCATCTAACAGTTAGGGGAGCAACATTGTCCTTCATTTGAAGTCAGGTTTCTGGCCAACTGGTGAATGTAGCTTACATTTTCACTCGCTTTTATAGCTCTGTTTTTGGTCTCTACCAACTCTTAAGGGAAATACTTGGTTCTTTAGCTGCTAAACGCTCCACTATGTTCACCAACTAGTTGCTAACTGTGCATGTCTGCTGTGTGATGAGGTGAAGGTGGTGCATTGTGAGTTTTTTAGGACTTTTTCACTAAAGACAGCTGCCTCTGTGGGCAAAAACGACACTATGGGAGTGGTGAGACTGAACCAAAACAGTAATTTGTGGGCTGGGCAGATAAACAATGAGCTTAAACTTGCTATAAAGTTCCGTAAAGTCGAGGGGAGCTGCAGAGTCAGGTGAAATTTCTCTGTAGGTTCATCTCTACAAGCGACCCCTTTCATGTTGTCATTTGATACAATATATTATAAAAAATATTGTTTATAGCCACAAACTAAACTGTTTGAATATTTACTTCACCATTGTTAGGTAGGTAGACCGATAGATGCTGCATACTGTACATAATTATAGATGGTGACTACCACAAATAAGACCTAGCCTTTCCATAAGGGTCAAATATAATTTGTTGTGGTGCGGAATGGGGTCATGACCCCACACGGTCAGCAGGGTCAAATCATTGGGCACTGAGCCCAAGAAGGTCATTAAAGAGACAGAGAGGCCTAATGGGGGGTTGGGGGCTGAACAGGGAATGCTGTTAACCCCTTCCCCTGCATCCCGCAGAAATGAGGAGAAGCAATGAGAGAGGAAATGTAGGAGAAGAGATGAGAGGTCATATTATTGTAGCATAGCAACCCAGGTTTCAGTGTGGGTTGAGGCAAGCAATAATATATAATATTGCTGAGAGGTTAGACAGCTTAGAAGAACCTTTCAAGATGGATGTGGAAAGAGAGGTGCACTTTCTGCACAGAAGAGGGGGAGGGAAGGTAGGAGAGGGGGTGGGGGTGAAGAGAGTCGGTAGAAAAAAACAGCCCAATCCTCCCATCTCCATCCACTCCCCTCTTCTCTCTCTCTCTCTCTCTCCTTCACCGTTAGTCTCATTCTCTCTCTCTTTCTTTCCCTCCCTCTCCCTCCGCTCTGTGCATCATTAAAACAAGCAGAGTAGTGTTCAGAGCGTGGGGCTGCACTGAGACGGTGACCTCCACAATAAGAAGATGTTCTTGCTTCGGGGAAGAGAAGGTTGTTTTGTACTCCTCTCTCTCTCTCTCTTTCTCTCTCTCTCCTTTCTCCTACTACTTCCAATGGAGTAAATGAGATTTGGAGGGGGGTAGGATAGTGGAGGAAGGGATCAAGAGGGTAGACATGCAGAAAGAGAGACGAGATAGCAAGATACAGAGGGAGAGAGGGCAGTTTAATGTAGGATTCATAACACAGAGAGCTAAGATATGATAAACAGAGAAAGATCTGAATTCCCCTAAAGTAAAGTGGCTTGGAGGGTTAGAGTGAGGCAGACAGGGGCTGAAACCTCAGAAATCCAGGGCATGAAAAGCCTGAATATGAGTCTGCCCATTTTTCATTTGGTAGGAAGATTATTCCTGCCCTGAACTGGGGAAAATGCAGATGGACACAGTGAGGTCAGCCAGGAGTCATTCTTATCAAAGAACACAACGACTTGAGGGATGACTAGCGCGCGATCTGCATCCTCGTCCAGAGGCATCTTTCCATCATATGCATACAATAGACACAAAGGCCGGCCGCTGTAGAAAGTCCTATGGGTGACACGAGGACAGGCAGTGGCGTGAACAGCCCCAGCGCCCCCCCCCCCTCCCCTGCATGTCGCCTTCACACAGGAACAAAATGTGTGGGCAGCGAGCACAAACACATTCTCTGTATCCTCCAGATGATTATACATCCTTTAAATCCAATAACCTCGATTCATTATGCTTCTCCTGATGTCATTCTTCATTGGAATTCATTCATTTACTCTTTCTTTGAGAAATCTGCTCATTCTTTGGCTTCCATTCCTCCTTTATTAATGCCATCCTTCCTTCCTTTCCTTTTGCCCCTCAATCCTTTCCGTCCCCTCTTCCTCCCTACCATCAATGCACTTGGTTCCCATACTCTTAATTTGCTTTTTCTCTCTGAGGGAGGACTCTTTATAAAAAGCCTTGTCGTTTCCCAATACTGATTTGAGTATCACTAAGCTGCACCTTCACACATATTGTTGCCTCACACCTTGTGCCAAATATTCCTTTGTAAAGCCTTCCCCCATCCCCTGCCTGCACCTGGTAGAGATAGTGTTCTTTCAGCTGCAGGCTCTGCTTTCTATACAAGCAGGGCTAGGATGGCACAAGCAGCACACAGCTGTTCCCCTTGGTAAATTGATAGTGAAGGGTAGTGGATGGGGCTTTGAAAGAGCCTTGTGCTATTTTTATGACAGTTGTAGATTTTTTTGCTGTTTAATTCGATGTGACCAATTATGCCGCTGCGTTCGTCGGCAGGGGGGCACTCCGGGAGAGCAAATTAATGCTTGACTTTAAAAAGTTTTCCTAAAGTGCGTTTACATACCTCGTTCCTTTGTTGAGGTTCAAACATAAGCTGTCACCAATGGATCTGGTCGCACTTCCTGCACTGAGCAAAGATGCGTGTGTTTCTCTTCTCTGTGTCTGTTTTTTTATGCTTTCTCCCTGGCCTCAGTGACAAACTTTTAAATTGAAAACAGCATGCTTACCTTAATTTTATATAGTGGTCAAACTCTAGTGTCAAAAGAAGAATACAGGAAACGAGTGACTGTCACTTTGAATGCACACACACGTCCACAACACACCCATCACTAAACCACCATCGACCAGAATTCTCGCTTTCCCCTCATACCACTACTCTCCCTCCTGAGTGGATTGCCATGAAGAGTGTTCCTGGGACTGAATACATGTGTAAGTGGCCTAATGATGCCTAAATCCATCCATGAGCAGACAGAGGGAGAGAAGGGGGGGGGTAGCTTTGAGGAGGTGGCGTAGGGGGAGGCCGGGGTCACGCTTGTCATGTCAGGCGGATTGGAAGGCCACGTTGGCGTGAGGGAGCACAGCTTTGAGTAAAGCAGCTTGTTTCAGGCAGGGATTGTGTTTGCAGACCCAACAGAGAGTGAGAGAGTGTGTGTGTGTGTGTGTGAGAGAGAGAGAGATCTGTGCCTGGGCATTACAGACCTACAGCCTTAATCCACATGGCCTGACATTCTCCGTTATCCGGCCCTCGGCAGCCAACTACCCAGACTGACGGAGGCTCGGCTCTACCCCCTGCTGTGTCATGCCACACATCACTCTCTCCGCACACACACACACAATTATACACACATGTACTACATATTTTGCTGTGCCACCCCTTCTCTTCCCCATAAACTTCTCCCACTTCCTCAAACCTACAACGATTCCTGCTCACAGCACTTGTATTCTCATTTCCTAAGAAACCAGCCCCTCCATAGTTCCTCATTACTACAGACATTCACACACAAGGGTGGACTACATGAACTGGTAGTGACATACACATGCATTTTTGACATTTTGAAAGTACTACTTTACTTTAATACTGTACTGTACACTTAAATATTGTAATTTATACTCCAATACATTTGTCTGAAATCTATACTTACTGGTTTACATAAAATAAACAGTTTATAATTGGGGCCCCTTGTCACGTTTCAGATGTCATTGAGTTGTTAGAAGTTCCATCAAAGAGTGATTTCTCTACTAAACTTCTCACTAAACTTCTTTCATTTACATAACTGTCTGCAACACAAAGATGTAAAAATATGCAATGTTTCACAAAAAGATCTTTAAAAAATGAATACAATTTGCGAAGCATAATGTTTTTGGAGGGCTCCGACGCCTATGTTGAAAAAAGAAAACAAATTAAACTAACTAACTTTATATAAAGTAGTTCTAAGTTGCCTCATCTTGACCAGCTACATCAGGAAAGAGCTGCTTACAAATTCATGCATCACTATTTACAACCCGAAAATGTCATATTTGATGTTAGATCAATCACAGGGGCCATTTCTCTGCCAAACTAGTACTTTAAATAGACTGAATTTTGCTGATAACACTAGTACACTAGTCAGTATTTTGAATGCGGGACTTTCACTTGTAAAGGAGGATTTTTTACATTGTTATCTTGGTACTTTTACTGAAGTAAACAGTCTGAGTACTTCTTCAACCACTGGCCTTCTGATAAAACCTGCAGGTACATTCCTGTACATATAATATCAGGAAGTATAACCTTATGTATTGTAATACATTCTAGCGGTTTAGGAAACACACACCACTTCCCACACGTCTTTCTCTCTCTCTATTGTCTCTCACAGGCATTTCAATGTTTGCCACCTCATAATTTCCCCCATAACTTAAAAACAAAGAAAAATCCAACATATATGAAAGGGAGAGGTCAGGCTTTAGTGGAATTACCCCAGACTTTTTGCCGAAAATTGGCATACAAGCTGCACATCACATGGCTCTCAAAGGTGTTTTCCAGCCAAACAGTGACAAACTGTAAATGTCAGTTTACTGTTTTTTTATGTGACTGACTGGTGTTTTCTTGCTGTTGCCACAAGAGGGGGTAAGTTACAGTAAACCCCTGGTCCTTACTGAGCCCTATGGCAACAGACGCACAGCCAGAAGCCCCATGAGCCACCCTGGACTCATGACAACCCACTGCTTACATCACCACACAGAAATATCTCAATTGTTATCAGTATTATTAGTAGTAGTATTAATATTCTTATTATTAGTGCTACATAAAAATTTCCCTGAGTGTTTCTAATAAGAGTGGGACTCGTCCTAGATCAGATGGATACGCACTGTGTGTGCGTTCACGTTGTCTCATTTCCTGACTCTGCCCAGAGAGAGAGAGAGAGAGAGAGAGAGGAGATACGGGGACACGGAGAGAGAGAGAGAGAGTGTGTGTGAGTGCAGGGGGAGAGTGAGATAGAGAGAGACGGAGAGAGAGAGGAAGAGCGAGAGACATATACATGCATAGAGGAGGAGGAGGAGGAGGGGGAGGCTCCTGATACCAAGACACGGAAAAGCAGGGGAGGGAAAGAGAGAAAGAAAAAAAAGGGGCTGGTGGAGGAAGAAGAGCGGGGAGTGGGAGAAAACAGGGGGAATAACACTTAAAGAAAGCATACAGAGGAGAGGAAGGACAGTACCTAGTGCTTTGGACGTCCCCTCCTTTCTTCTCCCAGGCTGTCACACCAGATTGGACTCCGAAGGACCGACACCGCGTCCACCCCAGACCCCATGGGGTAACAGGTATGTCTGACTTCCCTATATATTAGTAGTAGCCCCCCTTTTCTTTTAACCCCCCCCAGCGTTCAGCCTCCTCTCCCCTGCTAACAGGTTTGAGATTTCATTCAGACGCGGCGGATATCGCAGGATTTCCATGCCTTTATATCATGTCAACAATTAGTTTTCTGCCTCACGGAGCCATCCGCGTCCACAGCTGATAGTTGGTGGGCGCACAGGTTGGAGACATGACACAATGCAACTCTTCGCAATCGTGGCACTATTACAGCTGGCCATCGGAAAAAAGCTACTGTATGAAGGCCTGTCTATCTGTGTGGTTTTTTTTTTTCTCCGCTGCTTTTTATTTGATTTATTATTATTATTTATTCCAGTCCATTGGCATCATGTTAGCCACGGCATGAGTGTATTTTGACAGCTAAACATCCGACCGAGTGAGCAGACGACAGTCTGAAAGTACGCCTACCTGTTCCATACGTGACAGCCAGCTGTCTATTGCGCTTGTTGATATTTGGAGAAGCTGTCATCCGTTGACGGGATTCGCACATTGTACATTTCACACATTATGTAGCTGATGAGGGAACACAGACAGTTGACTTACAATTGGGGGGCGATTGCTATCTACTTTCTACTACATGTGTTTTAATATAGGCAACCAAACTGCTCTAAAAAGGGAAATAATGTGATATTTAGTGGACTAAATGGATATTTGGACACACTTTGAAATGCGCGCAAGGGAATAAAAATACATTCCCAGCTTGCGGAATATTATTTTTGAATGAATGTCATCTACCTGCGCTCATTTATTATTTCTACTTTTAAGAAATCTCTCCCAACACAAGCGCAGGTATATTACGTGACACTCGCAGACACATGACTCGTTCTCTGTCGGGTTTCATCCCAGCTGATCGAGTTTGATGAAACCAGCGGATCCTGGGGAAATTTGCAAAGTTTTGAACAGCATGACAACCCTATCGCCACATCGGGCTGAAGGGAAATTGTCATGCACAGATATCGTGCCAGATAAAATACGGGTGATGCGCCGTGCAAGCCGCCTGGAGGGGATTCAAAATGAAAGCGCTCAGAGCCCGAAAGACAAGGGCTTAAACCCTCCTCCTTCTCCCCTCGATTAACCTCCAAAAGGGGGATTTCTCCAGCTGGAAATTTCTGCTGCGTCAACACCCAACCCTAGAGTAACCAGACAAGACAGGGGGGGATTTTGTTTGCAGATGGTGCTCTTGGGTAATTTTTTTTTTTTGGGTAGTTGTTGATCATCATCTGATATGATCCGTATTGAGAGTTGAAAAGTGTGGCGTCAAGTGTTCGCTGTTTATTGGCGACTGAAGCTGAAAGCGTCTCCCCCCTCGCCGCTTCTCTGTCTGTCTCCTGTGCTGTGTGTGTGTGCGTGTGTGTGTGTGTGTGTGTATATATGTCTGCTGTCTGTGTCTGCCCTCTCAAACCGGTCAGTTCCGTCTTCCTCCATTTTCTACCATGCTTACCATGCGAGGAGGGGGAACAACCCCACTTCATTCACGCTCTGTATGTGTGTGTGCGGACGCCACTGTGCGCCTGACTTGCCGTGCACCTCCAGCACAGCCTGCAGCCAGGTGTGCCTTCATCCAATGATCCAGCGTCACTCTGCATCTAATTGTCTTTGCGGTGGGTGTTCCCAAACTTTCTGACAATGTGCGGCAAACTTAGATTGACGCACTGATGTCTTTTCCAGTGGGATTTTTTTTGACTGTGACACCTCATGTAAAGCCTTTGTTGTTGTTGTTGAGATGATGGAAGGTAGGCTGCTTAAAGACACTCATCCATGAAACCACTACATTTTGCACATCATCTGACTCTCTCAGTTTGAGAGCAGCCACATCAATAATGTGTTTCTGTGTTTGAGTTTATTTGTTTGAGGAATTTTACAGTACCAGCAAGCTATTTTTGACTTTGGTTTAAAGTGCACCCTCTCGGCTTATAGCTGTAACTGTAAGCTGTCGGTTAGATCTGAGCATTTTGCTCGGTTTGACAGTGGCTAAGTGGATCTTTGGGATTAGGAGACCATCTAGTGATTTTTTCCAAATTGTCTTAGGCCTCCCTGGATTTGTCTGGTTGTTTTGTCCTACAGAGTTAAGGGTTGGCGCTTGATAAACCCTCCAAAGTCTCTTATTCAGTTATTCAATTACTGTCGCCTGTGTGTGTGTGTGTGTGTGTGTGTGTGTGTGTGTTTGCATGTGTGTGCATTTGTGCATTGTTTTTATCCTTATGAGCAGAAGATAGTTTATCTATCTATCAAGACAATAACACATAAACTTGACAGCCACACCTCGGCACCTTGGCGTGGACTGTCTCCCAGGGTGCTTTGTGTCTGTGGATTTTGCCCCCAGTGAGGTTGCTTCCCTGAGGTAGAGTTGTGTAGTTATTACCATTTGAAGACCAGTGGACATAAGTGTGTGCCTGAGTGAGTGTGTGTGTGTGTGTGTGTGTGTGTGTGTGTGTGTGTGTGCGCGCCCGCACCTTCTCCATCTGTGTTTTCCACGGGAAAATATAATACAGACCAAGACAACAGCTACAAGGATGAGTGGAGGAGGAGTGTAGGCGAGATCGGCCGAAAGATGGAAAAAATATTAGCTGCTTGTGTGCTCGTGGGATTGCAAAGGAGGATTTGAAGCACTTTTCCACTTGTGTTATCTCTCATGAATGGACCTTTTTAGAATTGATTAAACATGATAGGCGAGTTAAATTTACCTTTTTGGTTTGTCTTGGTTAAAGCTAAATTCGCCTTTGGTGTTTGTTGAAGGTGGTGGAAGGTTGTTACACTGAATATCATCCTTGCACACGGTTGCAGAGTTTTTAGGTTTGCGGGAAACAGTGAAGGTGTGGTGGGGTGTGAAAAGAGGGTGAGAAAATGTGATGGAGGGCCTTGGTTTGGGTGGGTTTAGTATTTGTGACACTTGCCTCTTCCCTGTGTGTGTGTGTGTGTGTGTGTGTGTGTGTGTGTGTGTGTGTGTGTGTGTGTGTGTGTGTGTGTGTGTGTAAGCCTGCTGGTATGTAGGTGGTGCTCAGTGCTCCCAGGCAGGTTGTGGGCTGAACTGTGTGGTAGCTGGTTAGTCTGCTTCAGCTACGCCAACCCAGGGGACATAGTGTACTACCCCCTCACAACAGTATCTGTGTGTGTGTTTATGTTGACAACATGACAATAAACTGTACAGTAAGTTTAGCTCATCTAGAGTACATTCCCCAGAAATAGAGAAAAGAGGGCAAATGCTCCATAAAGACACATTTGTTCCCTGTTAGCAACCTTGTACTCCATTCATCTCTCTGTCTCTATCTCTCTCTGCCAGTTTCCTCGTCCCGATCCCCCCTCGGAGCTCACTTGTTAATGGGAACACCTGTTTGGCTAACACGCTGCAAAATGAACCGTTTACACTTGCATGTACACATCTTACATGACACGTCTCGCTGGAGTTTTCTGACAACTCTGTCTTCGCTCTGTCACGTGGTGAATATTATCATTCTCACGTCTGATTTCATGTCAAGACAGTTTGGCACACATTAACCCCCGGATCCAGGACAGCTCCATCCCCCATCCACTAATAACTCCCAAGGCTTTTTAGCTTAACTGTGTCTATTGCTCATTGTGCAGTGCTGAATACAGGTGTTCCTAATCCCCATGGGGTTACAGGGATGGTGGTGGGGGATGTGTGTGTTTGTGTGTAACAGCTGTCTTCCCTATCCACCTATCTGACATGCCCCCCCCCCCCCATCTAGCAGAGAGAACAGGTGAGTTTAAGCCATCCCCACCCTGAACCACACATACACATGCACAAATACTCTCCACCACCCCACTTGTTTTCTCACGTAGGTGTTAATATTTCATAGCTGGTGGTGAATGTGTGTGAGCGTGTATGCATGCATGTATGCACCTGCGCACAAGATAGGATGTCAATGAAAGCAATAAGCACTCTTGTTCTTTTCTTTTGTTCTTTTGTCCCTGAATTTTATATTGGAAGGTAATTTTGCGGCTTTCGGTCTAATTTTTTATAATCCAGAAGTAAGAATTAAAAGTCCAGAAGCAAATGTATAATTTGATTGTTGCTAAAAATAAATGCAAGGGGGTTCTGAGCAGTGAAAATGCCAAGATGTCAGAATCTTTTCTTAGGAGTTGTGGATATTGCAAAACACCTTTTGGATCACACATTCCTTAGGAAGCAGATGAGGGATTTCAGTTTGTGTGCTTTCATCAGGGTGTGTTTTTCTTTTATTTAGGAATGCGGAGCAGATCGGCACTTTCCAAGTAGAGCCTCATGATCACCCAATGCTTATCAGCGTCATGAGCTATTTTCCTGAATTTCTGACATTTTCTAACATCAGTTATCAATTACATGAATGTGTAGGGCCAGACCAGCCTTGAAATCTAATCAGTCCCTCTCCTCCTTAATGCACTCCTAATTGTTGGTTTTATATACTGTGCGTTTTCACTTATTCAGATGCTGTCAAAACAAATATTGCAACAAGTGAAGTGATGACGGCAGTTGTTTTGCACATCAGGTAATGCAAGCCAGATAGATAACACACACATATTATCCTTTCAATTAGGTTCCTGTCTGGTATTAATGGAATGACAAAGGAAGGGATAGAAAAATGCATCTATTTTCTTATCTCTTCAGCTTTCTGATTTGTGATACTGTTTCCCTGCGTAGAGCAGTTAGCAGCAGTGCCCCTCATATATTAAACTCCTATGGTTTTGGTTTAAGGATATTCTGACTGAAACCTTTATATTTCTGCAGGAATAATGTCGGAAACATCAGTATTTTTCAGGTGAAAAATCCGTTTTTCTCCCTCCTTTGAACGATCACATTGATTTGTGTGACAATGATTCACACACGAGCATGTTTTAAGACATCAACCTCTGATTTGCCTGCTCCCCGGTAATGAGCTGATATGGGACTGATTAGTGTTGTTTGCATGATTTGCATTCTTTTACCAGATATTTTTCTTTCCAAACAGACTTT